TTGTATTAATTTGATGGATTGATTATTCTTGCAACTAGTAGCGTTATTTTTATTATTTTTGGTCTTTTGTGATGCATGTAGGATGGTTCTTTTTCTACTTATCAAGGTCAATCTCAACCTTCTTCCGACATGGCTAATCATTCGATAAAAGTTTAGAAAATCCATCCTTTTATTATGCAGTCCAATTAGATTGTGAAGAGCAGATAAGTAATATATTTTGGGCTGATGCTCAAATGATAATGGACTATGCTCAATTTGGTGATGTAGTGACCTTTGACACTACTTACAAATTAAATAATGAACATAGACCTTTTGGAACCTTTGTTGGATTTAATCATCATCGAGAAACTGTTGTATTCGGTGCAGCGTTGATGTATGATGAGACTGCCGAATCATTCACATGGTTGTTTCAGATTTTTTTGGAGGCAATGTCAAACAAAGCTCCAAAAACTATTTTCACCGATCAAGATGCTGCGATGGCTAAGGCCATTCCAATTGTCATGCCTAGTACAAACCATCGACTTTGTACATGGCATTTGATGCAAAATGCTGTGAAGCATGTGAGTTCCCTCTTTCAAGATGTTGGGGTAAAGGGTGTCTTTTCAAAATTTATGCATCAAATTGATGATGAAGAAGAATTCAAAATACAATGGGACCAAATGCTTCATAGGTATGATGCACACAACAATCATTGGTTGGCGCAAACTTTTGGTGTGAAGGAGAAATGGGGATGGCCATATATTATGAATTCTTGGGCAGCTGGAATGAGTACTACTTAACTAAGTGAATCATTCAATGCATTTTTGAAGGATTATCTCAATTGTGATCATAACTTGATGGAATTTTTCAAGCATTTTGAGAGGGTGCTCTATGACAAAAGGTATAAAGAATTGGAAGCCGAGTATAATTTGTGTCAAAAATTGCCAAGGGTTGCCATTCCAACTGTGATGTTAAAGCAAATGGCAGATATTTACACCAAAACAATTTTTGAGGAATTCCAAAATGAGTACGTGCAGTCCATTGAAGCGTCCATTGTAGGCACTATTCATGATGGTGAGAGTACCATATTCACAATTCAAACGGATGTAGATGGAAAAAAAGATAAGAATGTGACAATGGATAGAGATGGTTTTTTGAGTTGTAGTTGCAAGAAGTTTGAAATGAAGGGCATAGTGTGTCAACATTGTTTAAAGGTGCTTAGAGAGATAATCAATGCAAAGGACCTTCCTGCACAATACATACTCAAACGATGGACAAAAAAAGCAAGGGCTGAAACTGTGAAAGATAGGCGTGTGTATGATGTGAAGGCTGATGTCAAACTACATCAAAGCGACCGATATAGGTCATTGATGAATATGTTTAGAGCTATAGCAAGTAGAGCCGCCGAAAGTGAAGAAACTTATCATTTGTCACTTGCAAAAGGTGAAGAACTGAGTGTCATGGTTGAAGACAAATTAAGTGTGCACACTTTTGGTCAAGTGGAGATCACTGAATTCAAAAATTCCTCAGCTAACACATGCCCACAGAGTGATGAAGTAGATTGTCCAATCCAAGCCAAGGGACTGAAGAAAAGACAAGCAACTACTAAGGGAAGAAGGAGGATCAAGGGCGGGATGGAAAAATGTATAGCGAAGAAGAAAAGAATGCAATCTAAGCAGGTAATTAATTGAAGTTATGTCTGATTGTTATGTGTTATCAATTTTGTGTTGTGTGTTACGACAATAATTTATTAAATAATTTGGTTGTTTGCAGGGTGATAGTTTTTGTACTCTTCAAGGTCAATATGAGCCTCCTATTGCCATGGGTAATATTTCTAGTCAGGTAATTTTTACTATTGTGTGCAACCTTGTATTAATTTGATGGATTGATTATTCTTGCAACTAGTAGCGTTATATTGATTATTTTTGGTCTTTTGTGATGCACGTAGGACGCTTCTTTTTCTACTTATCAAGGTCAATCACAACCTTCTTCCGACATGGGTAATCATTCGATACAGGTAATATTTAATTTAGGGTGTTTACCTTTGACATGCATAGACGTTAGGAAATTGAACCTCATACGGAATTATGAACTTTGTCTTATTCTTTGCTTTATGTTGGTTTACATTAGGGTGTTTACACTCCACAAGGTCAATCTCGACCTCCTATTGCCATGGGTAATATTTCTAGTCAGGTAATTTTTACTTTTGTGTGCAACCTTGTATTAATTTGATGGATTGATTATTCTTGCAACTAGTAGCGTTTTATTGATTATTTTTGGTCTTTTGTGATGCACGTAGGATGGTTCTTTTTCTACTTATCAAGGTCAATCTCAACCTTCTTTAGACATGGGTAATCATTCGATACAGGTAATATGTAATTTAGGGTGTTTACCTTTGACATGCATAGACGTTAGGAAATTGAACCTCATACGGGAATTATGAACTTTGTCTTATTCTTTGCTTTATGTTGGTTTACTTTAGGGTGTTTACACTCCACAAAGTCAATCTCGACCTCCTTTTGCCATGGGTAGTAATTATGTTGGGGTAATATCACATATTGTTTGTTTTTGAACATGAAAATGCATTATGATTTTTTTTTTTTAAAATGCATTGTCTTATTCTTTGCTTTATGTTGGTTTACTTTAGGGTGTTTACACTCCACAAGGTCAATCTGGATCCCCTTCTGGCATGGGTCGTAGTAATTACGTTCAGGTAATATTTCATATTGTATGTTTTTTAAAAATAAAATACATTATTATTTTTTTTTGATGGACATTCTTCTTTTATTTGTGTTGGTTTACTTTAGGGTCATGGTCGCGAATCCCAATCTCAACTTTCTTTTGCCACGTGTCATACTAATTATGCCGAGGTAATATTTCATATTGTATGTTTTTTAAAATTAAAATACATTATTATTTTTTTTGATGGACATTCTTCTTTTATTTGTGTTGGTTTACTTTAGGGTCATGGTCGCGAATCCCAATCTCAACTTTCTTTTGCCATGTGTCATACTAATTATGCCGAGGTAATATTTCATATTGTATGTTTTCTAAAATGAAAATAATTTATTACTATTTTTCATTTCATACTTTATTTTTTTACGTTGGTTTACTTTAGGGTGATGGTCGTGCAACCTATATTTCTCAACCTCAATCCCAATCTCGACCTGAATCCCAATCTCAACCTTCATTTGCCATGGGTCGTACAAGTGTACATCATGTCATGTATCCTACATATGATGTGAGTTGTAATTGGTTACATACTTTACATTGAAAATGTAGTATAGATTCTAAAAAAAGTTTAATACATGTATCACTATTGCAGGGAAATAACACGCCTTAGTCAATGCTGCCTGATTCAATGCCTTTACTGTATCCCACTCCGACATCGTTTCAGAAATTGCTTCGAGATAGTACTGCAGTCCAACTGTCAGAATCCTTTGTTTACTTCATAGTTTACTTTGTTTTTACTGTTGCAAGAAATTTGTTTCATGATAAATTCTTTGTTTCATAGTTTAGTATTAACTATTCATTTTTACTGTTGCAAGACATTTTTGTTTACTTCATAACTATTCACATGATAAATTCTTCATTAATACGGTCATTCATAGTTTACTTTGTTTTTCCATTCAATTTGTTGTACTGGTTGGACTGTCCACTTAATTGTGGTAATCTTCATGTTATGGTTTCCATTATAATTCTTCAAACGCCATTTTCCACATTTGTTTTAAAATGTAATTTCTAGAATTGTTTAGTTTACATTCTTAATTTCTAGAAAGTGCACAGCTTTAAACTTTGCATGCCATATGATACCAATTCTCACAATTGGGATATTCAAAATAAGAATGGAGATATATAATGCTTTAGTTTGGATGACATCATTAAAAACTAAAATCAATGTTTCTATGTCAATTTGAATTTTAAAATTTCCTGTTTTGATTACACCCTGTAATGTAATGGACAGGTTTGATTTAATTTCCTGTTTTGATTACACCCTGTAATGGAGAAAATAGACTTATTCCCTATTTTCATTACACCCTGTAACGGACAGGTTGAACATAATCATAACCATACAAAGTGCACAACATAACCATACAAACTGATTACACAGTTCTGCTGGACAAAATGAACAAAATAACCAAGTTCCATTACATAACCATATAACCATACAAAATTAACAAGTCCAGTTAACCATACAAAGATATAGTTTACATAACCACATAACCATACAAACTGCCACTAGCTCCCATGGGTCGCAAAGATTACAAAACTATTACATTTTTATAACTAACACGATCCCAATTACAAGCAAGATACACAACCCATAAATACGACTCGAGTTTTGATTTATGTCTGTTTCCAACTTAAGCATCTTCGCCCTCATAAATTGCAGTTCTTCGCTTTGAAATCGAAGTTGTTCATTCATAAGTCGAAGTTGTTGTTCGGTGACAGTTGACATATTTTCCATTTGCACTACTCCTTCACGTCTACCTTGTGAATTTGTAGGCAAGCACCATCCCATAAAATCGCCGCAATTTTTACAACAATAAAATAATTTGTTTCTGTTTTGTTCCGTCTCCGAAATTTGAATAGTTGCTTTCTTATGACATTTAGGGCAATTTCTGTTGTTGAACGTCAACTGATCTGAGGTACCTCCGTTAACAGTTGAACTTGACATCTGCAAAATTATGCACACAATTCATAGTAAAGTTATATACACATTCAACTTCAATCATATCATTCCTACATACACCTACTTTTCAATCTTTTGGTTTTTGCTTCTTTTTTTTAAAAAAAAAAAAAAAAACTCTTACGTTGCCCTAAACAGGAAGGTTATTATAAAAACTTGTAGGTTGCCCTAATCAATAAGTGCACTTGACAAACGGATCTATACTTGCATTAATAACGTCAAGATCCAAACATACTGTTGAAGTTATGTATGCCAAACATATTTATAAATTAAAAAAAGAAAGAAGTTATGTATGTCAAACATATTGTTGAATGATTGTGAACTTGTCATATCTCAGTTTGTAATCTAAATCCTTAAACTGGCATTCTTCTACACACATATATAAACACTTGAATGGTATAAATGGACTGATTGTTTTGTTTGGTGATCATACATAATATTGCCAAAGATGGCATATTTGAATTGAATCTTCCCTTTTGCAAAAAAATAAAATTAGTATCAATCTACTAGGGGCCATGTCTACTAGTATAGCCCAAAATTTGCTCGACTCGCATGAAGGGAATGCTTTAAATGAGTGAGGATTAGTTGGGATTATACCTAATTAAATATCCAATTATCAAAATAAATAAATCAATATATATTTTTTTGGCCCCATATCAAGTGTAAGTTCTTCACGTCGATAAAGTTTTTTTTTTCATTTCATGATAGTTTGACTAATCTTTTGTTGTTGTTGTGTGAATAAAAAAAAATAAAAAAAAAATTAGTGTTATTATAGTCTAAAAATTATATTCATTATAAACTTAATGATGTAACAATCTATTAGAATATTTAAAGCAACTCTTTCTCTCATATCTTGTCTAATTATTAATCAATAATCTCATTTAAATATCATTTGATTTAAAAAGTGAACTTGTATATTAGGTGACTTTGAATGCAACAATGTGAATGCAACAAATATTAGTCTACAGGTTATGCTAAAGCTACTTCAATTTTCTTCAAATATTAGTCTACCAGGTTAGTCTAAAAATATCATTTTCTTCAATATGTGATATCCTACCAATGTGAAAGCAACAATGCTTTGGTTTTTTCCACTATTGTAGGATAGGACTACCAAGACAGTTCATATTCATACAAAAACTGACTAAAACAGTGCTAAAATTAATCTAAAAGTAAAGAAAAATAAGCAAAAGCATGGAGAAAACAAAGAGGGCACACCTATGGATAAGCCTATAGAAGGGTGGCTAACCCTTCACCTTCAATCAAGGTTTAAATCACAATTTTAAGCCTAAAACAACCATGAATATCAGTGTTTATAACGGAGAATGAAGAGCAAAGAGTAAAAGAAAAGGCAATGAAAAGAGTTCAAAGAACAACCTCTTAAAAAGAGGAAGAGCTTCTTGGTTCACAAACTTCAATCCACACACTCTCAAGTATCTCAAATAAGGTTCAAAACTTCAACAAAAAGTTTCAAGTTTGAGCTTCAATGGTGTATCTATATTATATATATATATATATATATTCAAGAGGGTAGATAAAAGCTTGGGGCAATTGTCTAAGCCTTTGGGAAATTGTTCTAACCCCAAACTCTAAGGGGAGGTGCTGTATTTATAGATTTTCAACCATCTTCCAACGAAAATATCTTCAAAAGATAGCAGCTGGCCAAATCCTATGCATGGGACTAGCTTGCTGCTGCAAAATATATGTTTTGCTGAACATGGCTGGCCGGCCAAGAGGACGTACAGCTGGCCAAGAAAATGTGGCCTGCCGGCCATTTTTTGGTCTTGCTACTTTTTGAGGGTCAGGCTACAAAAGGAAGCCTTGGTCCAAACAGGGTGCAAGTTTTGGGTTCAAAGCTCAAAACCTAATTCTTTAGCTGAAGATTCGAAATATTACACAGTATAACATTTCATCATCGAGTGTTCGGAATGAAGTGTCAAAGTCTTAAGAACAGTAAAAAATGAGATGCCTACACTTACCTGTATATTTTTCATAAAAAAATACCAATGATCTAATCAATTGAACCAAATTAAATTGACTTCCACCCCACTATCGTCACTGGCTCTCTGCCGCCACCCTTCTCCTACACTCAGCCCCTCTTCGCCTCACCCCACTCCTCTACCGCCACCCCATTCCTTTTACCTTGCTTCTCCTACCAACAACTGCTACCCAATTTGTCACCATCGACCACAGCTTTTCAATTCTGATTCGCCAAACACATGACCTTTGTATGGTTGTGCGTTACTAAACATGCAAGGTGTGTTTGGTTATGGGATGCCGAATATGATGGGTATGTGCATTTGTCAACAGATGTAAGGGTGTTACAATTTTGTTCGGTAGTTGTTGTTTGTGCGATTTGATTTTGTTCGGCAGTGGGACTCTATACTGTTTAGTTTTGTTCAATTATTGTGCACCAAGAAAAATTCGAACAACCATCTCTGATCTCTACAAGCCCCTCTCTTAGCTGCGATCGTCGTGGGTCGAAATGGGAGTGGGTTGCAATGATGGGGAACACAAATGAAGTGGTTATGGCGATAGTGATGGTCGCAGCATTGGAGCGACAAAGAGAGTAGTGGTTGTAACACCCCCAAATTAAATAGATTAAAATATTACTCATAACATGATTAATCCAAAATCTTACCATACCAAACAATAGCATTAATCCCAAAAGCCCTTTTTTTAATTGAACTACATATCAAATATTACAAATTTCTATATTTTTGTCTTAGTTACAGCAACATTAACATAGTTCAAGAGCTAGAGGATAAAAATAATAATGGGTTAATAGCATACAAACATCAAGGCAAGGCCCTGTTACAACAAAATGGACACGCAGTCACAAAACACATATGCTCGGAGCTTCTACATAACACATATGTTCGTGCCCCAACAATACAAAAGAGTCCCCTTCTTTCTCATAGGGGTGGTTGCACATCATCGATTCCTAAAATTGTTAAATGGGACTAGAAAGAATACAAAGTATCTAGTTATTAAAAAATCCATATGGCATTATCACAACCAAACATATTTAATTCAACTCATAGTATTAATTTAAGAAAGAATACATGAATTCATAGCTTCCATAATTTCACAATTCAACACCGAAGGGTAAATACACCATGAAGTCTCTAAAGAGAGTCCCAATACATACATATACATAGGTTTCTATCCAATATATCCTCACATTTGGTGACTAGTAATACGACAGGAAATACCCAAAATCATCCTCTCTTTTTTTTTCTTTTTTTTTTCTCATTTTTACCGACTACAAAACTGCAGGACCAGTGGATACCCAAAAATACTTTATTGGGCATCTAAACTTTTCCCCCTGCAGGTACTAGCAACACACAACTCTTTCAAAAAATCAACTTCCTATCCAAACTCACATGCTATTTACCATCCTCTTAAACAACATTTCCAATATTTCAAAGTATTCATACATTCTTTAGGTAAAATGTAATGTACACCATTCAAGTGATTTAATGGAGTAATAAGGAACAATATTCATAATTCAAGAAAAATCTCAAGAAGTTCCAATTTCACAAGTTTCAATCAATACATATTCAAAATATCGTAATCCATTCATCAATTTTAAAGAATTAAAAATCAATTTCATCTTTTTCCCAAATTATACAACTAGGATTTTCATAAAT